CATCAGCCCTCTAACCCAATGGGTTTCCTCACTATTCATATGCTAGATTTTGGTATCACCCAATGTGGATTTCGCACTCTACCTTAGAACACTTAACTATCCTCGAGGTAAATCTAACACAGCGGTACATGTCCCACACATGTATTCACGTGTTTGTTCCTATAACTAGTACATATTGACCTGCCGTTCCGTATTTGTATCTCACACCACCTTTTGGGGTGCTGCCATTCTACGGACGTTTCTCAAGCATCAACCTTCCTAACTAGGCACCCATTACGTACTCCTTGCCCTTGTTTTGGTTCCTAGCAACTCCAGTACCCCACATTTAGACCGTCTTCTTACCCGGATTCTTTACCGGTTTTTCCCTTACTTCCAGCCAGCAACCCGGAAGGGTTAGTCTGCCTAGGCTTTAGGTACCTGAAGGACGCCCTCCCCTTGGTCCATACTTTCGGAGCGTATGTTCTTTTCCTCCGGTGCGACAACCTGGCAGTTCGGCTGGTGTGTCCTCCGCCATTAGGACCTGGTTGCTCAGTTCTCCGATCTCGGGCCCTGGTTCGAATTCAGCTCTCCTGTGGTACTGTCGTAGATCACTACTACCTCCAAACTCGGGACTTGCCAAATAGGTTTTCGGTTATTCCGGTTCCTCAGATTTATTGTGCCAAAGCTCCCATAACTAGATGGTATGACCGAGATTACAGATTTCTAGATCCAACCGATAATCGACAACCGTAAACTGTAACACAGGCTATTTTTCAAAATTCGCCGTCCGTGGGATTTGAACTCTAGACCTGCTACTTAGAGAGGGTAACGACTAGACCACTACACTAAGTCACCACACCTCTAACTCTAATCCCAAAATTAAAACCAGAATTCTAATACTAACATTGATTTTTTAAAATTTTTAATTTTTTAATTAAAACTCTAAATACAAAACCTAAAACTGTAACTCTAACCCTAACCCTAACCCCAAAATCTAAAAGCAAACCTCTAACCCTAATTCTAATTTTGATTTTTTTTAAATTTTTTTGGTGAGTGTGACAGATACCATATGACAAATAATACTATAGAATATACACTATTAGTAGATTCTTATTTGTCACATGGTATTCATCGCACTCAAACGCCGGCTCAATGGATTCCAAATCGGGCCTCTGTGAACCAATTTCTGGTTCAAAGAACCCGATTCGGGTTCCTGAACCAATTTCTGGTTCAAAGAACCCAATTCGGGTTCCTTGAACCAATTTTGGTTCAAAAGAACCCGATTCGGGTTCCTTGAACCAATTTTGGTTCAAAAGAACCCGATTCGGGTTCCTTGAACCAATTTTTGGTTCAAAAGAACCCGATTCGGGTTCCTTGAACCAATTTTGGTTCAAAAGAACCCGATTCGGGTTCCTTGAACCAATTTTTGGTTCAAAAGAACCCGATTCGGGTTCCTTGAACCAAATTCTGGTTCAAAAGAACCCGAATCGGGTTCCTTGAACCAAATTCTGGTTCAAAAGAACCCGATTCGGGTCCCTTGAACCAATTTCTGGTTCAAGAGAACCCGATTCGGGTTCCTTGGACCATTTTCTGGTTCAAAAGAACCGGATTCGGGTTCCTTGAACCAAATTCTGGTTCAAAAGAACCCGATTCGGGTCTCTTTGGACCAACTTCGATAATTTGGTTAGTTGGAGTTTTAAAACTCCGATCAAGCCCCGAAAATTTGAGGTAACACAAATTTGTCAAATTTTCTTGACACTTGATCGGAGTTTTAAAATTTCGACCAAGCCCCAAAAATTTACGGGGACCCAAATTCTAAGGTCACTTATGCGTGACACTTAGTCGGAGTTTTAAATCTCCAATCGGGTCCCGGATAATTTAAACAATCCGATTTGTCAGTTCAAGGCACCGTAATATGGTCACTTCTACTACCATATAGTGAAAAATTATATATATACCGGTATTTTATACCGAGCTTATAAGTTAAGAAAAAAGCTCTTTATGGGTGTTATTAAAAGGGTTGGTTATATACGGAATTGACTGTACATGTAATCCGAAACACTAAAAGACGTGCCAACATGTCTTTACAATGGGATATAATCTGATGATGGTAAATATTTCTGCGCCTATATTGGCTAATTTGGGCCAAAACTATGCTATATGAGTGATGCCAAAGGAAAATGGGACTCCAAAATCCAATAATTTGGATGTCAAAATGGTCCTTTTACAAAGGACTTAGTGTTCGGTCTTTATTACGTCAAAAGCGATCTTTATATAAATTTATCGTTATAATACCAATTTAATTTCGACTAATCAAATTTATGGATTGTTAGGATCCAAAACTTAGTGTCCAAGAATAACAATTGGACGTTAGATTGGACGTCCAATTAAAGATGTTCAAATTTCAAATTAACTATATAGTTTCAGTGTCTAAAATTCGCGGATTTGTGCGGATTGCTTTATTTCGTAATTTGACTGGCGCTGGTGCAAATCATTTAGTCGCATCAAATCTGCGCCACTAAAAAGGTTACAATTTCAGGGAACCTAACCAAACAATTATCAACCTTCGGAAATTTCTTTTTTTTCTTTAGTTTTTTCAACGGATGGCTACAAAGAAATGTATACTTTTTTTTGCGAAACTCTGAATATTCATCGAGTCACCACTGTTTACTTTATATTAATAATGATAACCATATATACAGTAATTCAAGAACTATTATTCATGTTAGAAACTTTTTTATATTTATTTAGACTAAGCAAACGTTGTATACGTACGTACCGAATGCCGTAAAGCATCAAATGATTTAATGAAGTAATTACAAGATATCAGGTTATTTTTTGGAATCACTTCAATAGAGTAATTATTCAAAAAGCCCCTTCTTTTGATTATGTGTAATTGTTGATTATAGGTTTCTTTGCTTATTCTTGTACAAGTTTCAGCTATAAACGCTTATTTTTAATCAAAATTAAGTGAATAATAATGTGTAAAATTATATACTGTATCATAGTTTTTTTATTACGTGAATAAAAAAAAGACCGCCAAAATCAGACACATAAGTTACTATACCAAAATTGAAAGCAATGTAACTTAAGGTCCAGAAAAACATTTTCTCGAAAAGACATGATCCCGACAAAGTTAGCCAAGGCTGGCCAATTTAATCGGCATCATAAAAATCAGTGTTGACCGATGACCTAAGTCATAACATTTTTTGATAGCATACAATCATAAGACTTTTTCGTAATAAGTCATATTGGTCATATTAAATGCTACGTAGTAAAAAATCTTTTTACTATGATTTTTTTACTATATTAAAAAAAGTCATATTAACCTTCATTATGATCAAATGACCTATGACTGGTCATAACGGTCATAGTCATCGGCCAACACTGATAAAAATAGCTTTCAGAAAATCGTATCTTACGTACGTACGTACCAATTGAAAGTTATAATTTAAGATTTATACTTTAAAAGGCAAGTGTTCATATATACTGCATGTATTTTAGACCATATTAGGAACGTGTCAGATATTAGTTGAAATCAATTAAAAGCTCATCCCTTCCCCCCCTTCTAAGAAATTTAGTCATTCTGATTGGTTATATGTATCATCATAAGTTATAATTCCGGTCAAAATTATTTGATCATTTGACCAGATCTAGAGTACTAGACCTAGATTTTGTCTACTCACCCACCCATTTCTCTTAAAAATTTTTATTGTGTCACATTTAACTTGAACAATTTTCTATAAAGGGAAAAGTCAACTTTACATAATAAAAGGATTGAAATACGAATAAATTATTCAATTATTTGTATTGAAACTTTATACGCAACTACGTACGAAAAACTTTATTGATGTAGAAAGTTTTTCATATACGTATAAATATGTAATATATTCATAGTAGTTACCTTACTACCTACTATAATAGGCATCGCATAAAACCTAAAAACGATAAAAACATTAAATATGAAAGAATATATATATAACATTATTCGCACTTGATCGCCTGTATACATCTTACAATGTATCATAATTTATTAGCGTTAGCACGATTAAATACTCATTTTTTTCAACAAAAATGATATTAATAATAATTAATTAATAATTAATTTGTTTCATTTTATTTTCTTCCTTTTATTCGTTCTTTATATCGTTCCTTGTTAATAGTCCGTCGTCAAACACTTATCTCAATTGCTACGCTTTGTATCTAACTAACCTCATGATTATTTTAAATAAAGAAAAGTCATGACATGGAATATATCACTATCATCATTGTCGACAATATTAATATTTATCCTCTTTATACGTATAAACATTAGAGCTGGCCTCGTTTTTGCTATCGATAACTTAAGATATTTTAACGAGGTTAATGATAATAACCCAGATGGAGCTAGTGATACACGAAAACCTAATAATAATAAAGTTTTCAAAAGAGTTGATGATGGTTCAGCCTCTGTTAACTCAAGTGGCGACGACATGACATCAAATGATGACTTGTCCATATTCGTAAGAGAATATGGGAAATCAGATAGAAAAGTTAAATCACCTCGTACTGGTATTACAAGGTCAAAAAAAAAAAACAATAAAAAAAGTTATTATTATGACGATAAATACAAATATTATTACCCTAACAAGGGACAATTAATTGCTACACCGACAACAACTTCCTATACCTATTTCAATTTCATACCTACATCCACGATATCTACATTTACATCTACATTTACTTCCACACTAAATACTCCACCCATATCTACACCCACACCCACATTCATATCAGATCCACTATTAAATTCACAACCGATTGATATGTGTCCAGTATCTCCATGCTCTAAACCACCATGTCAACTTATCCAATGTAATTCTACAGCACCATTTTGTATTGTCGATGTAAATGGGTTTCATTGTGATAACACAGATCAAAATGTATGGAGAATTAATAATCAAGATGGTTTAGTTTTCTCCGATTTAAAATTTGAAGGTCAACAATGTCAAACATTTATACCACCAAAAAATCAAGTCGATGCGGATTTTTTAGTTCAATTAATAGTTAATAGCTCTTTTGGTTCTCAATTTTTATCAAATATTACTGGAACTTGGACGAACCCTTTTGATTTTTTGGGAAATTGTAAAAATTCTTTTTTTTGTGATACTTCTGTTAACGGAGGTGTTACAACAACTTCAGAGAAAATTACTAATGGAATTTGTAGATTAAAATTTAGTAGAGTAACTCCTTGTTTTAGTGCTAATCAATGCGATACTCATAGATGCACTGGTGATTTTATAAATAGTAATGGAACAACTGTAAAAAATAATACTGTATTAACATCAAATGGACAACCTATTTTGACTGATCAAATCTGTGCTGCTCTTAATGATTTACAACGACCTATTTTAACCTTTCAACCTCCTGATGTTCCTGCTACAAATGCTACTAGTACTCCTGAAATTATTCTATTATCTATTGTAATTACCGCAGCAGTACTTATTATTTTCATTACAATAGTAAGAATTCGAAAATATGGTTTAAGAAATTTTTTGCGCTCTTTAGTTACTATTAATAATATTAATAACGATAATAATAATAATCGAAGAATTCCGGATCTTTCTCAACAACAAGCTATTGATAATAACAATAATAATATTGGTGATAATAGATTTCGTAATATGACCTCTTCAGCTCGGGAAAGGATTATAAATATATTTTCAAATAATAAAAATGATCCTTCTAGACAACGTGGTTTTAAAAATTCTGATGATGATATAGGATCAATTTCTTCAAATGTTGCTTCAGCTTTATTACCACCTTTACCTGTTGTTAAAAGATCTTCCTTCAATTCAAACATTTCTAATAATTCTGATGAATTTTATAATGACAATAATGGGAATGGGAATGTAATAGGTGTTGATTCAAATTTTTATAATATTAATCGTACTAGTCATGTTAGTTCCATTAGTGATTTTAGTGGTCCAAGAGGTAGTAATTTTGGAAGCATAGGTATAATTAATATGACAAACGTTGGAATTGGCAGAAATAATATATCAATTCAAAATCCTTTTGAAACAGTTAAATTAGCAAGAGTTCAATCACAAACTGCAAAAATTTTTGATCCCGAATCATATCTTCAACAAAATCAAAATGAATTCGGTTTTGAACAACAAAATCTCGTCCCTGAACAAAATCAAAATGAATTCGTCCCTGAACAACAAAATCTCGTCCCTGAACAAAATCAAAATGAATTCGTCCCTGAACAACAAAATCAAAATGAATTCATCCCTGAACAACAAGATCAAAATGAATTCGTTCCTGAGCAAAATCAAAATGAATTCATCCTTGAACAAAATCAAAATGAATTCATTCCTGAGCAAAATCAAAATGAGTTCATTCCTGAGCAAAATCAAAATGAATTCATTCCTGAGCAAAATCAAAATGAATTCGTTTCTGAACCAAAAGATTTGATTATAGAAAAGTCTGAGGAAGAAGAAAAAAATAAAAATGGTCAATGGATAGAAGACGAAATAACGCGTGAAAATGCATTAAATGCTACGCTTGAATTGGAAGATATGGTCATTGTCAGCAATCCTAAGGATGAAATAGAGGAGGAAAGATTACGACAAGAAAGACGACAAAAAAAGTTGGAAATGTTGTGGCGTAGACAATTTAAGGGCAATAATATACAAGAGTAACAAGAGTCATTAGGAATGGTTAGGAATGATTAGGAATGAATATCTAATATTTTTTAAAACTTTTGTAAATTAAAAATTTAGAGTTTTGTTTCTATGAGTTTATTTGTTTTTCAGTATAAAATTGTAAAATTTTTTTAATATATATTTTTAATAAAAAAAAAGGATGAATTATTCGTTTAAATGAATAAATCAGAGTGGTGAAATTAATATTGAAATATTTGAATTAGCAAAATTAATTTCACTAGTATCTCTAGACAAAATAATTTATTATAAACACATTGACATTGTTCACGAAAAATATATAGACACACAAACCACGAAAATTCTCTTGTTTATTATTTGTTATAAAATAATATATAATGTAAATAAATCAATTAATATTCCAAAATTAGTTATTTTTTATAATTTCTTAAATATCCTATTTAGTCACTTTTTCTTGTTCAACAGTGATAGCAGTATTACAGCCTTCCGTTAAATTTCTAACCAATGTATCTCGTCGTCTTTTTAAAATTTCATTTTCATTCAATATATTCTCTTGTTCCCAAAGTTTATGCCCAGGAGCCAAAACAGTGGCAGTTGTGGATTTTTGTATATTATCATCTGATGGTAATAATACATTAGGAAATGATTGTGGGACGTTTATATTATTATTAATTAAGGTTGGATCTTGAATTTGTTCTGGTTCTTGATAAATTAGATTTCTATTTTCATTCTTTTTAAAATTAGCAATACCACTATTTTTTGAACGATGTGAAGTGAATGTTAAACCTTCATCTTCATGAATTAATTCTTTACTGTTTGTATTTATGTCAATTGATTTATCTTGACAACATTCGTGCATCCATAAAGCGCAGGCTCTGATGGCACCTTTATTCTCAGGTAATAGTGCTGGCATCTGTAAAAATGCATGACTAGAACCCTGAATAATTTTCACTTCAACCCAATCTTCAGAATCCGTATTTATATTATCACTAGTGTTCATACTGCTTATTCTAAATCCTTCTCCATATCTCCCTCCATTTTCTAACAACCTTTTCTTTTTCTTAGCCTCACGTATACGTCCTGCGAATACAACAGTATCGTCAACGAGTGGATCTTTTTCACCACACATTAGATAAGTTTTTGGAAACTTTGCAAGTAACTCATCGGGACCGACAATAGGAGAAAGTAAGTAATCAGAGCTGAAATCAGGATAATTGTTAGGACCAATATAAATAATTGCCAATGCGCGCATCTAATAAAAAAAGGAAGAAAAAAAAATTAACAAGAAAAACCAAAATTTAAATCTATTTATTATATGATTAGTGATTAGTAATTATGCATTACCAAATCAGCATTAAGGATTCTGTCATTAAAAAAACTCATACGACTGGTCATTGTTAAACGAGTTCCAATAACCGGACGAGGACGTTTTTCATGTTTAGGAACATTATGGCCTTCAATCACTCGAACACGTTCTTCTATCGTTCTTTCATCTTCCATAGATCCAGAAAAACTCTTTCTCCATCTTCTTTTCTTAACATCAGGAACTACAGCTAAAGGACTTTTGTGACTCAAGTGATCTTTAGATTCGAGTACACCAGGAATCGAAGTCGTAGATTCGGCTCTAATAACCGATAGCTGAGATGGTGGCATCCAGCAAGTAATATCAAAATTAAGCACGGGATAGATGAGAATCAAACCATTGGGATGGGGAATGGGCATTTGATATTCAAGAATTTTATACATGACTGACGCAACAAAATTCCCTCCACTTAATAATATTAAACATCAATTATCGTTGTATAAAAAAAATTCAATAAAGCAGAAAATAATATTATAAAAAGTTTAACTTACGCAGAATCGCCAACTAAAGTCATTTTTATTTGTTTTCTCTTACTACCATCTTTATCTTTCCAACCAGCCATTCCAATTACTTCACCATTACTTTCAATTATACTTCGATAAACGTCAAAACATTCATCTAAAGCATAAGGATAAGGATATTCGGGTGCTTTTCCATAGTCAATACTTAGAATAGGTACTTGAGTCTTTTTAGCCCAATGAGCCAAATAATCTTCATGACATGGAGGAGGCATTGCAATGAAACCACCACCAGGGTAGTTAAGTATTAAGCTATCACAATATTTGAACGATTCTAAAGGACCATCATAATATATATAACCAGTGATCGGTTTTGAATATTGACTATTTTCTGGTCGAGGAATCGAAATTTTCTTTTGATTAATAGTTAAACGTGGATGTGTACGCCTTATTAACGCACGTAAGTAAGGGTTAAGAGTTTTTTCCCATGATGTACGAAGCTGCTCAACAGTAACTGTAGCACGTACTCGTCTAGTCTAAATCAGTAAGATATAATTGATTTAGTAATTAATTCAAAATATATACTACATATTTTTATACACATATATATATATATCATTTATAATTATCAAAAATACTTAAAATATAATTTAATACCTTTTCGTCTGCTTGGTCAGCAAATATTAAATAATAAATCGAAAAAAGAATACTCATTATATCTCGAAACGGTTTTGGACGAATTGACATTGCAGTCCAAAAACCAGCATCTAATGCAGTAAGAATCCACGTGGCTCGATAATAATTTCGACTATACTATATATGTCAAATAGCACACAATGACAATTTAGTAAGAAAAAGAAAATTGTAATGCAAAATATTATGTTATCACATACTAGCCGTGCAAGTGGCTCAGGAGCTATTTATTAGAGCGAAGAACGTTGTGTGAATCAGAAAAAAAAATAAATAAATAAAACTAAAATGTGGAGGAATCTGAGTATAAGAATACCTCCAAGTCCTATCATACGATCGGCATTTTTCAAAATGTATAAAACAGCGAGAGTTCCAGCCACCAGTTGAAATGGAGAAAATTGAGCTATTTAACGAAAAATGATAAATAAATACTAAACCAAAGGATAAATTAATAACTATGTAAAAAAAAAACTTACAGAACTTTTCATTCCATATATGAAGAAAACTTGGACCTCGACGATCGATTTTAAATAAAACAAAGAACCTAAAGACGAGATCACGCATATATTTACGAATTTTAGCGGAAAGTTTAAGCTAAAACATAAATTTGAAGAATATTCGTTACCAGGTAAGTGAAACGAGAAAAACCTGAAATCGTTTCCAGGAAGGGGAGGGCCTTCCAAGGAGGTGATCTATCATTTTGTAGAAAGAGTAAACGAACCTTAAAATTACTTCTTTAAAAAGATGATTGGCATATGATTATTTTGATCTATGTACCACGTTACACGTTTTCATCGAACTTGATTGTTCCGCAGTATTGTTTATTACAATATATATCGATAAAATTTTTCAAAGCATCTTATCGTTAAAATGGAAAGCAGCTCTCAAGAAAGCCTAAGTAATCAAGATAATATAGAATGGGTATCTGGTAAATGAATGTATTTTAATATAACATTATAACCTAACATTGAAAGTTTTTATTATTAACAGTTAATCATTTCTTACACTTTTCCCACTTTTCTTGCTTTTCCCACTTTCTCGCTTTTCCCACTTTTCTCGACTTTCCCACTTTCCAATTTTCCCTTTTTCTCTACTCTTCCCTTTCCTCAAGGTGGTACGTCGATAACTTTCACTCCTCGTTCAAGTAACGTTAATAACCATGAAAGCAAAATACCATTGAGAGCAATTACCTTTAACAACAAACACACAAGTGTTCGTATGTTTTCTTCCGGAGTGGGAGATATGGCACTTTTAGTGCGTGGAAAAAGTCGAGAAATTTCGATTTGTTTAAATAATATGAAAGATGAAATCGTTATAAATGTTAAAGAAATTGAAGAATTTCGAATCGCCAAGGATCGAGATCAAAAAGCCATTGTTTTGAGATTAAATCCAAATTTTGATAGAACGGTAAATGATATATGTAGATATAGTATAATAATAATTTATTAATTTGACAACAATCAGATTTAAGTTTTCTTTATGTTACATATTAGTACCTATATCACTCGGAAGGATATCCTTACAAAGAAAATCCAGTGAGATTATATAAAGATCCTACAAACGATCGTCTTACTGATTTAAGTTGTCTAAATCTTAAACCGGAGAATTTCATAAAATCAGGAGAATTATTTGAAATAGAAAAGTTTATAAAAAAATTGGTGATCGAGACAGGTCAATTAAATAAGGTTAATCAAAGTTTATAAGAAATAGGACCATTTCAATTTGTTTACATCTTTATTTGATAATATATATCATAATTTTTTTAAAAAAATATTAATAGGCCTCACGCAATAATAACTGGACATCACATAATTTTAGAAGCATTAAAAACGATAATGCCTATTATTCAAAGGAAGAACCTTCAATGATGAACTCAAAAGGGATACTTCAACCAAATTCAACATTGAAATCACCAAATGTCACAACAATTCAACGAAGAGAAGTAAGGATCTTTGTGGTTTTTTTTAAAGATACCACATAACTTTTCAACATCTAACGAGGATTATTTAGATATACATTACATGTATTATTCCCACTCAAAAACGTGCGGTTATTTATCCTTGTGATGGACTGTTAGGTCACTTCCAATTTTACCTAAAGCAAAGATTCGGATGGAAGTGGGATAGAATGTGGTATAATAATAAAGGATTTTGGACCTTATTGAATGATGAGGAAGAGTGGAAACGGGCTAAAAAACGTATTCAATTCAGAAGATTGCCGAGGTTGGAGGTGTTTATGAGATAATTATAAATGCTCCAGTGAAAAAAAAAAAATTATAAAGGTATTAAAATTGGTTTCGAAAAAAAAAATAATAATAACAATTAGAATAAAGACTTTATTTTTTTTTATTTTTCTTAGTTTGAAAAATACATATCTGATATATATCTGTATATGTTGTATATTATTTTATCATTATTATAGTTGTAAAATTTTAAGACATTCTATATAAGATCCTATCGAATCATTTCATTAAAGAATTCTTTGACTTAATATTGTTGTAATTAAACTATCCAAAACTAATCAGAACTATATTAATTAATTGTGTGTTTACAATTCTTTTTTCTCGAATCGATAACATCTGCCATGGTCAATTTGTCGGCAAGGAAAATGATGAAGCTGCGGTATTTTGAAGATAATCGACAAATTATCAATCAAGATCGATCTTGAGTGACACGATAAATATAATATAGTCATTGTTATTATTAATTACTATATCGATGGGAATTGAATGATAGTTATCAACATTAATTAGTCGATGTTATTTATGAATGCATCAGAACATAATATATAGTATATAATTGTCATTAATTCATTCGTTATATGAATTTAATAATGTAAATTCGGATAATATTTCAAAGAACACTTATTATTTTTTGTGTAAGTATTATATCGGCAGATTTGGTGCCATCCCAATTAGCCTCGATTTGATGGATTGGTATATAAATAACTATTTATCTTTAAATATGAAAACAAGCAAGTCCACTGATACGTATTCCTTTTTTTTAAAAAAAAAAACACTATGGATTTAACAAAGTTGATTGCAGTCCTATTGAAAATTTCTCATTTGAAAATTTTAAATACGAATTCAAAATAGAGCAATAATAATAATAAGTTTTTGTATACGTAAATTTAAAAACATTTTTTTTCAAACCTTTATAAAAATCATTCATAGATTCATAGATTCTTCGATTTAAATACTTTTAAAATTGAGAGTTTTATGCGACCAGACTAATCTGACAGATTTTGAAATAGTTTTAGATATATAAAAAAAAGAGGAATTACGATATTAAAAGCATATTAATATTAACAAGTTATTACGGTACTCTAAAAAAGGCATATAAGAAATACCATTACAAATAAAAATTATTTAAAAAAAAATCTTAAAAAACAACAAGTACATAAAATGTTCAAAGATCTTAACAAAATACATAGATCTCAGCAGATGTATATTAGCTAAAAAAAAAAAAAACTTTAAGAGAATTATGATTAAAAAAAAAGCCATATGATGAAATTTTAAATCAACTTCACCTAAACAATGTTTTCAGAAATTAGAGAACCAACATCGTAACTAACTCTATTAACAGCAATCAAATATTCTTTTTCTTGAGCTTTTGTATCATGATATCCAATAGGACCCACATTACAATCAGCACAACATATATATTTTAATCCAGTTTCTTCGATAGTTTTTGAAAAACCAATATTTTCAAATGTCATCATGTCTGTTAATTGCCAGTATTCTACATTTGATTGTGAAGTTGATTCGCCATTAGTACTATTCCGATTTATATTTTCTTTACTGTTAGTAGTACTATTTGATTCTGATTTTTCGTCACTAGGAGGTAGCATTGTCTATTATATAGACAGAAAGGAAGATAATGAAGGAAATCGAAGATAATGAAGAAAATGAAGATAATAAAGTTAGAATATCTAGTATATGAATATATGTTAAATGATTCAAATTATTTAATTGATTACCTTATCTTTAGGTCTCTCAACAAGTGTCCCAAAACTTGTTCTCAAAAGAAGACACCTGCAAGAAGGTTGTGGACAGTAAATGTCATAAGCATTTTGATTATTGTCAGCGGTTACAAGTTGAGTTTTTGGATCCGAAAAATCCTGGTAACGAAATCTCTGTTTATTCGACATAAATTTTATTTACGATTATAAAAATTGAAAAATTTCAAGAATCGACTAAAATTTTAAACTAATAAATAATCAAATAAAACTGTAAAAAAAGAGAGTAAAAATAAGGTTTCGATATTCAAAAATTCGGACTAATTTACGTATTTTCCGAAGAATTGTATGCCCTCAAATTAATAAATGTTATAAAATACTACATTACCAAACTCAGAAAGGAACAGAAAACAAAAATTTCCGATTGGATTACCTTTAACGGCAGAATACTTACACGTAGAGGTATCATAACGGTAGTTAATTTAATAATCATATCCCGTGACCTAAAAGTCCCATGACCTTATCAGAGAAAATCAGACTAATTTATACTAGATTGGAGATTGAGGCGCTTTTGTTACTTGTAAGGTGTCCAGAATCAATCTTTAAACGTTAAAGCCTTCAGATTGAATTTTGATATTGCAGTATTGAAAGATGGATATCAATGAAAATATCGCCCCATTCCAATGGTTGAAATATTTATTAACACTCTTTCTAATATTTGGATATCGTTTATCATTGGTATCAAGAATGGCTAATACGGTAACTGGTAAGAAACAATTCATTAATGCATAATAAATTTCATATCTGTATGATAATTCATTCCTTAAGATGATTTCTACGTATAAGATGATAATTTATTTCTGTAAGATGGCATCTTGATACGTACTGTGATATGTACTGTACACTCAAACAAGTTTAAATTCTTGCTAAAATCAATCTGTTAAAAAGTGTTAATTAAATTTCACCCCTTCATAAATATCATACGTAATAAGTTATATTAATGACGATTATTTAACTTGTGCAAGTGAATACGTACAAAAAAAAAAAACTATGGTAAGGCGTACCTTTACTGATGGTCGCGTGTAAATAAAAACCGGTTGCATATCATATTCATTATATTTTGAAGATGCCAATCTGTCGCGCAAAAGTCTATATCGGTTGAATTTTTTCCGCCATCATTCTATTACAATAAATAAATCTTCTCATGTGTGCATTACACGCATAAAACCTTATTTTTTGGCTAGATTTCACTATTATATATAATATCTCATCCTAAAAAGATGGTCTTAAAAAAACTTCTAACTCTAAAAAAAAAAAAATAATAAGAAACTTGGGCTTCGATTATAAATAAATAAATAAAAAATATTAAAATAAATATATAAAAAATAAATAAATAATTCGTAACTTTGACATTAAAAAAAAAAAAGTATAATAAATATATTTAAAAATGACCTTCAGTAAATTAGAATATCCGATCAAAGGAATCTTTTACTTTCTTTCCCATTGGTCGTTAGTTAGAGAAGTTTTACTGGTTATATTACTAACTGTTGTCGTATCCATTTTCATAATATCATTAACGTTTGTAGTATTATTGGGTTTACAAGCTGGTTTATTCACTTTACTATTTATTCCACCTCCGTTCTCATTTATTCTTGCGTTTATTCTTTGTATAATTGAATCTGTGGTTTTCATTTTCATATTTTATCTTGTCGCCACTCCACAATGGCAAGATGAATTATTTGATAATGTTTTGAGGTTAAAAGGATTAGGTTCTGTGTTAGATAAACCGAGGCATACTGATAGATTCGTTTTATTATTTCGTGGCATTGGATTTGGAATTGAATTGACATTTTTTCAGGTTTGTATTTTCTAACTTTCTTTTTTGTCTTATTAAATTTTTAACCTTGTAATTAATTTTATTATTTTTTTTAGGTACTCACTCTTATCATCACCATACCAATTAATGCTATTCCAGTTGCCGGAACGGTTTTATATTGCATCATTAACGGATGGCAATTTACATGGGGTCACCAAATTCATTATCACATGCTGGTTAGAGAATACACCGTAAAACAATCTAGGGAATTTGCTTGGAAAGATCGTTATGACTATATAGCATTTGGTTCGGTTGGAATGGCTCTCCAATTGATCCCTGTGGCAAATTTCATCTTCTTTTGGACTACTATCGTTGGTGCTGCCCTATGGACTGCAGATGTACGTTTATTTTTATAAATTAATTAATTCTATTAAAAACTATTCCTATTTCTTTAATGTTTATTAATTGTAAATGTTTTGGTTTGTAAAAGGTTCTCATTGAAGAACAAAAGGCTGCAGCTGATGAAGAGGAGCAAAACATTACCGTTGAGGCTGTCGGAACTTCCTCCCAAAGCACTCCGGCAGTTGATGAGTCTACCGCTGTTACTGTCACCGCCACCAACGTTAATAATTATGGTGCTACTACTATTAGCACTAAATAGTTGTTTAGTCTTTTCATTTTATATTTTTTTTCTATCGTTACTGTTGTATTTATTGCTATTTCCTTATTTTCATTCTTGTTATTGTTACTGTTATTTTACTGGACGATTGGCTTAAAAAAAAAAAAAAAAACATTTATTATACAGCATTATAAATACATTTATTATAAAATGTGGTTTTGCACCTATCACATGCTTTATTATGTTTTTTATAAAAATTTTCAACACATGTTAGTGTTAGTATTTAGGGGTTGGATTAGGGGTTGGAAAAGGGTTTTTTAGGGGCGTAAAGCATTTTTATTTAGGACATCTTGCATTGATTAATTAACCAGTTTTTGAGATAATATATATATAGGTGTAAGTAAAAGTCTATAACTAATAAAATGATACTGTATGCTATAAATTATGGTGCTAATTACTACAATTAATAAATTCATGAACTTGAATAGCTTATATTAAATATTTAAATTAACAAATGTTCCTTATACTATACACACTAAAAAAAAAAAGAAATTAAATATATAATAGAATTAGGCTCTTAACTTTTCAGGATCTTAAGCTGTCAAGATCTCGACTATCAAACTTTTGGTCCAACCCGAACCGACCCCAGACCAACTCGAAAGTTCAGCATCGAACCCGAACTAAAGAAGGATTTAAAAATAGTTCGGATTCGATTTCAACTGAACTCGAATATGATCAAAAGTTTGGTTCGGTTTGATAGGAATCCTAGGATTAGGTCTTTTAAAACTTCAAATGCTTTTATCAAAGAAAAAAAAATAAATGATGTACATTATTCACACAGCGGATGTTTACATAAAAAGTTAAACTTCTAATTTCTTTGGCTTTAATTTCAGAAATTTACTGAGTTAGAATATACTATAGAGTGCTTCTGTGTACAGTTAAATTAGTCTTATTATAAATAACAACTATTGCAAAAGATATTCTCGAATTTTGGTCAATGATAATAGAATCGCTTTTCTCCCTTCCGGTGTCACACCCAAAAGTCGATCTTCTAAGACTCTCAAGGGACGGGGCCGATATAGTACAGATACTATAACTACGGCAGTATGGAAAGTAAATGGTAAGGGTTTTAAGTCAATTCTATGCCTTATGCAATTCTTGAATGTGTGCCAGGTTCGTGGCGCAGATTTCCTTAACTACAAATCAGATTTCAAGATCAGGTGTAACGTAACACGATCGATTAAAATCCAAAACAAACGTTCGTTTTGTCAAAAATCGCAATTTCTCGAAATTCTGAATAAGAATAACACCTTTAGTGTTCTAACAAAAAGTTTTCGTTGGGCAATTTTAATATATAAACTCTCCCTCTTAACTTCTAATCCCAACCCTAACCCTAACATAAACAAACTTTAAAGAATTTCTGCTGCGCCACGAACCTGGCACACATTCAAGAATTGCATGACTTATCAATGATGATTTGTCTAAGGCTTTTATTCAAAAGAGGCACAACTTCTAATATATATGAGGATATATTAGGTTGTATTGTATGTTTTACTAACAATTCGGTTAACAATGGACGTCAAGTCACGTGGTCACGTGATAACGTTCAAATATATTTATTAAAAAATAAAAATAAAAAATAAGAGAATTTTAACGTGTATGAAGACACGGCTACTTTATCTAACCGATAAAGTAACTAAGATATACAAAGGAGATAAGAAAATAACTATTTCTAAGGGGTGAGAATTCTATACTAATAGAGTTCTAAGCTAAAGCAAGGCGAAAGTAAGGGCCTTAAATACATGTTTTTCGGGAAGTATCTATTTCTACTCCATTCTCTCGTTGGTGCTTCTAATTTTATCACTAATACATCTTTATTTTATTCTTACTTCGAAGCGAACCATATAACTAGCTTCGTTTATATTCCAGCGACGTGATGTATTCTGCGCCTTTACTTTTGCATTATTAAGCAGATCATGCACTTTTATAGCATGCATAACTGCGGCATTCGGGTACTAGAGGGAACCCGACTTTTAATGTAACACCGGTTCTGCAATATTTAAACCTCCATCGCGATCACTTTTGCTGACCATCTTCCAATTATGACAGACTGCTTCTCTGGCAGACCAGAATCAAGCTCTTCCCAATAAGAACAGTACGGTAAAATATAAAATAGGTAAATATAAAACGAGCTCTAAATATTTCTCTTGATCAATATATGGAACCGAACCGAAAAAAAGAGACGATCATGTGATTTTGAGAAAATCAATTATGAACTCTATATCTTTTACTCTTTGTTTAATAAAAAAATTAATTTTTCAAAGACACAAGATTCGTAAGTAAATAATTCTTACAAAATCTCGAAATCTAATTGGTTGTCTCACTGCCTCCTTTTGCTGTGGGGGTTCCCTTATAAGTCTCATAAATTCATACTTCCACAAGCATTTCAGCGGGTTGTATTTCTCTGTAACCAGACTTTTTAGTCTAAAAAGGTTAGCTAAGCAAACAAAAATTTTAACTGTTTAACATCAAGAAACATACAGACTTCTATAATAACTATAGCAATTTGGTTCGTACTAATCACGAATTCAGGACTAGCTGTCAAAGATTCACCATCATTATTTTAGTTGGCAGAATGGATGGTGGCTGGGTTTCATATGTACAAAATTTTAGTCGACTGGCTAAACCAGCTGACTAAAACACCAGCTAAGCGGCTGAATAATTTTCTACTTTTCAGAAGTTTTCTTAATTGTATTTCATGTTTATTCATTTTCTTTCTTGAAATTTATCGATGTGACCTTTAGCCGCATTAGCTAGCCGACCATATTATTTTGACTAGCTGGCTTGCCCTAGTCGGCTTATAACACTATACAAAAAGAATAACTATCGAATTTATGGCTACATCATGTAGTTTGTTGATAAATGTTTTGACGAAATTCCTTTGTAGTGATTGGACCTGTCAAAAAAAAAATGCCACCCGGGTAGAACCCGAGTGGGTTAAAAAAAAAAGCCACCCGGGTGAAAATAGATATCCCTTGTTATTACGAATACTTGTATATACAAATACAGTATATTTTCTAAGTATATAATAGTTATATCCTTGGTATATATCAGATATATAGTTTGTTTTAAAAGTCTCTAGCATTAATAATTTTTTTTGGATCGGATAGAAATTTACTAAGAATTCATTGTTTTATTATGCTTGATATGTAAAAAAATGTAAAGTAATTCTTGAGTGACCTTTATCAATGGTAAGTTTTTGAAGAAAAAAGATGGGTTGTACGTAGTATCTCATCGAAATAGTAACGTTTAAAAATTTACCTCCGATCCATTGAGCGGATGCTTGAGATCGCCTTTAGTCCTTTTTGAAAAGTTTTTTTTTTAGTAAAGTCTTACAATTTCGGGTCACCCGTTTCCATCCAGGCGGTCAAAACTTCACCGGGTTACCCGGTTGGCACCTACCCGGGTCCAATCACTAGATCGCACATTAATAAATTTAAATTATTGTGCAGTCAAAAATTATCCGAAAGAATATGAAATCCCTGATATTAACCCGAGTTTCAAAGGAGTCCTTTGAAACTCGGGTTGATATCAGGGATTTCATATTCTTTCGGATAGTTTTTGACTGCACAATAATTTAAAATTGTTAATATGCGATCACAGAAAGAAAAAGACAGTAGGCATACCACCAATTGTTGGAAATTCATGGAGACCTAACTATAATTCTTTCTAATTTGGTTAGTCTAACGGTTTTGAAAATTATTGATGGCATCCTCGGATGAAGCTGGGCAAAAAACTACATTATACTTCAAGATCACCATAACAAATGATTTCTATAAAGGAATCAGTAAATGGCTTCTTTTTTGCCATTACGATGGTAGTTACGAGAGATATAACAAATAAGGAAATGGCATTTAAAAAAAGGCCAACAAAAAGATCAAGATGGAGCAGATTTCATCTTATATAATGTTTATCTAGAAAGGATTATTAATAGATCCAATTACAAACCCATGAACAGTGAGAATATGCCTATAATACAAATACAAATAATATCATTTGGCAAGATCATATTAATCCTCAATTTATTACCTCCCAAGTTCTCACTGGGTTCACAATGAATATTCAATGTATCTTTCAGTACTGAAAATATTAAGAAAACAAACTTGTATAATTGTTATTATTTAATGATCTTTATATTTTATTCAATGTAAGCAATATGATAAAATAAATCGAAAAACTTTTTCTGCATTAAAATCAATAGCTTTAATTTTTTTCCTTAAATTCTATTTGTAATATAACATAACAATATACTGTAAATAATTTCTGGAATAGAGCAGAGGAACTTAAGTCTAGACAATAGGCAAACAAAATTCTGGGTGGATTCCAGGTATAAGATAAGGAAATTTTATTACCATTATCTTTCAATTGATCAGAATCATAGTAGTTATTATTACTTAATAATATAGTATATATATCGTTCTTTAAATTTAACTTGGGTTCCGGGTGTAAGTTAAGAAAATTTTTTCCAAATTACTATTTAGTCCAATCGATTATAATTATAGCAGTATTGTAGTTATTGTCACTTAGTATATAGCATATCGTTCAAATTTAATTTTTAATTACTGTCACTTAAATGTCTATGATTTATCGTTCTTTAAATTTGACTTTTACCAATTGCTCCTATTAGAACATGAGATGGGAAATTCGGTAACATATTAAAAAAAGCTCAAGAATACAAGAGCAAATACTTGAAAAGAAACAGCTTATATATATAAGCAAAATTTTTAATTACACACTAATATAAAATTTTAATTAATTTGTTCTCATAATTTGGCTGATTCAGTTTTTTAATTTTTATTTTCTTATAGCTGGGTTAAAGCTGCTATAAAAATTCAAATTAGAGCTTGGATTCGACTATCCATTTAGTCTATTTTTCGGATAGTTGCGAATTTCAGATAGCCGCTTGTAAATTATCCGACTAAATCCATTGAATTAATCAAAATACAGTCGATTCTAGATATACTTTTTTATAACAAAAACAA